TATAATATAGCTCCAAAGTATAGCTTACCAGTCGTTGGGAAATATATAAAATTCATCTCTAGCTGATAATATTGTAGAAAAACTATTTGTAATAGGCTGATGCCTCCGTGGATCGAAACACGTATTATCATTTAAATATTACAATAATGTTAGACTGAAAATAAAATTCCCGTTCATTTTCCTCAAAAACTTGTTTTACTTCCGCTCGCTCGTTGTGTACTTTTTGTTTCTTATTTATTTTTTATTTCGAAAAGTCTGTCGATTTTTCGAAAGTATTCTGTGTGCTTCTTCGGCGTTATGCGATATTGAGTTCACGCTTGAAACACTTCTCTAAGGATCGTTGTTTCATGTAGAAAACAATGTATTTTCAACACCTTTTGTATTATGCATTTTCTTAAGTCCAAAACCTTGCCGAAATAACCTGAGACATTTGCCATGTGCACAGTAATCCCTATCGCTAAAATAACATCGTAAGTTGTTTGCAGAGTTTAAAAACGGTACCCGCGGTCTAAAGAATTGCGCTCTTTTCTGGCCTTTTGTCTGAGTTTGGCTACGACCACCTAAGGCACTTTAATGGGAGACGGCCAAATGGCAACTCGCGAATTGCACGAAAATATAAGCTGCAGCCGTGCGTTAAACTCCCTGAAGTCTTTGGTTTTATACAGAACTTTGCAGTTTCGCTACCTCATGAGCTCTGAGTCTAACAAGCAATTAACGGCTAAACGCTGTATTTCAATATCTCGTCCGGTGTCAAGCGTTTCGATCAATTTTTGCACAAAAATCGTCACCCACTTTAAGAAAGTAGTATCTGGACGTCAACATGAACCAGAGATCAGTATGAGTGATATTGAGAAAGCAGCCTAGCTGCAGGGTCTAATCTTTACCGAAAAAAGATTGTTTTGCGCTGGTGAGACTGGAGGGCCTAATTCATTGAGAATTGCTTTCTAAAACCATTGATTTGTACGTCGATATACCCGAGTTGTATAGGTCAATTAGGTTATTCGGGAGAAAAGTTTCGACAGATGAGGTCAGCTGATTTCGCTTTATGGCAGCTAATTATTTATGGGAAGCGATAGGCTTTAAACGCGTCCAAGCTGCCTCTCTGGGTTTCGAATGGGAAGTTTAGGTGCGCTCTCCATATTCTCCAGAGTTTACGCTGATAGATATTTACCTTTTCCGTTTACTGGGCAATTACCTTCGTAGCCTATATCCTCGACAAAAAACGTGACCGGAAAATTGTTTTCAGGTGAAGCCTGCTAGCTTCTGATAAGATGGCGTACATCATTCGGTAGAAGGATGAAAAAATCGTAATGACGAGAGATGATAACTTGGTTTCGCAAAAGTACAGTAATTGTGTACCTTATTTACTAAAAAAAAACCAGGGGCTTTTCTCTCTTTATTCGATGACATTGTGTGTGACGATGTTAAGCTTGAGGCAACAAGTGCATCGTTTAGATAGCATCGAATTATTTGCAGCTTTTAGCGACATTAACACTATATTCATGGTACATGCTAATGTTACTATAATTCCGATGGGTGATTCTGATTTAAATTTCTTTTGGTTCCAGGGAGCTGATAATGACGATGCAACCCCAACGAGTGAATTCCCTCCCGGAGAATTCCCTGGTAAGTAGCGACCTATTTAGTTTACGTATAGCTCAATTGTGTATTCTGTTGAGAAGATCTAACGGGACAGTAATAATATTGGCATCCTGATCATGGCAGTTCTGGCTCCTCTAACTAATTAATCAGATCTACAGTGACTAAAAGAGATAGATACCTACGATATTCCAGCTATTATCGCTCCACAACGGCCAAATCACTGTAAAAATTACGCACGCAGAAGTATAGGTTAATTTTTTACACTTGTATAGCGTAAATAACTGAAACTCTGTAGCAGACTTAGATCTAATCGAGCCCAAACCCTAACCATCTAATAAAAGAAATAGTGAAAACAGCTGGCGTGTGAAGTTTTCATTTTCACAGCAGTTTGCTTACGGATCTAGTAATGATACCACTATAGTGATATATGGTGATATAATACAATTTGTCATACGCGTCCCACTGTGTCCAGGGGCGGGATTCAATATTTCATGAAGAGGTAGAACGGACAGAGGGCGCCGCATATCGAATATGATTTCATTTCATCAGTATAATTATTATAAGCTCATCGAAGCCATCTTTGAGACACAGCTACCGGTAGTACCTGCTAATTAATGATTTTTCAGTGTGTGAAAATAAAGCCTCTGCGTTCTTCTATATAATCCGTATGGTAATGATGATGATGGTGATTACGATGATGATAATGACGACGATGATGATGGATATGTATAAATTCAAAATACGGATGCCCTCTCGCCACCTCCTATGGCTATATGGGTCTGTTTGTTCGAAAACATTGTCGGTAGCTAGCGGCATCCAGTATCGCAAAGATGTTGACGGCCTGACGCTAGTGATATCCGATGCTGCATAACAAACGGGCGGTATATTATTAAGGAGTCTATTAGATCTGGGAGTAAAGGCAAACGAAGTGTATTCTGACCGAAAGCAGTGAATATATTTTATATGAAATAAAGGCAGTATTTTAAGTGCGTACTCATTACCCTTAACGATGATTATTAATATATCTGTGTATGTGTAACCCATTTGTGACATACGTAGCCTTTTCCAGCCTCCAGGGCTGATAATTTGCAATACGTTATTGGCAGCGATCAGACGATTCAGATAATTTTCATAATCGTTTATTTACTGGTGTATTGCGATCAGCCAGCAAAATGTGTGCTTTGATTAGGAACTTGCTATGCAGCCAATAATTCATACAGCTAGCTATTTTTTCAAGTACTTTTGTTGAGGACGTTCTTATTACGCTAAATAAAACGGTGCGTAGTACCTTCGATTCATCGAATAGAAGCGTTGTCGTTGCGTCTAAATCATAACTTCCAATTCTATAAGGTCATTCCACTTGACGCAGTTGCTCTGCGTCTAAATGAAAGTTTATTATCGTTTTAGTAGCGTTCTTCTAGATAGTCTCTAGATGCCAACAACGTAACACCTTTAACTCACTGCAGTGTCACGACCTTCTTTAATGGCGTTGATTGTAGAGGAAGTATTTCTGCATTTTTCGTCGGCCATCTCTCTTGGCTTTTTTCGTATTATTCTGAACAATAAGCGCTGCCTCCGTAAAACCCTTGGCTCATAGAATTGCTTGTTGTGTCCGGTCAAGAATCGCTGGTACTATGACGAAGATGCTATAATCGACAGAGTCAGGTCTATGCACCAGTGTTTGCGATACTTTCGATACATTTACTCCTCTTTGTGCCGAATACAACCGGAGGATGTGGAGGGCATCTTCCAACTGGCCGATCCGTTCGTAAACGACAGGCCGAATCTGAAGATATTTCCAACATTCGTTCGTTTCATCATTATCGTAATATTATTAATTTTATTTTTATTATAGTCTCCGATCTCCGGCTGTGACGCTAGTTAGATGTCTTGACTATGACAATGTTACCAATTGAGTTTGTATCGGATCTTGAAAGGTCTAGCCTGCATATTAAAGATCCCATTAGATGTCAACAGTACTCAAGCTGTCAGTTCATCCAACTAGTTTCCACATAGATGCCGGCTGTGAAACACCTTTATTATAGAGATCATATTTATCCATCAATCATTCGACAGCAGCTTTTACCAGGGCGTTCACTCCGCATTGTATAGCGTTTCATCTCTCCAATACAAAATGTCGCTTCTCCTATTTACTAAAGACTTTGACACGGGTTGGTTCTCTGGTGTTCTTGGCGCTTTGATGAGCACATATGTGTACATGTACTACTACTGGCCTGTTATATCAGTAGTCGAGTCTTGCAGGTGAGCTAGACACCTGAGATGAGGTGATCTACCACATTGTTTATGCGATCAAACCAATAAGCCCAAAAGATACGCGTGGCGTAAGCAAATAATACGTTTATCCAGAGTGGAAATACCTACACGTGTGCATTAATTTTTCAACTAAAAGTTCAATCATGATCCATAAATAATGACCACAATGGTACTGATGCTGTTGGCTCGATTAATGATAGTTTTGTTAACATTGTCGTTGATGTTGTTTGTCGCTGTTATACGGTGGCGTTGCTGCAATGATATGACATTACCGACTGCTACCCCGCACGCATAAACAGAGACACACACATACACATATACAAACACACACGAAGACAGGGTCGGTTAGGGAAAGCATTATGTGCGCCTACCGCTGGCATGTCTAATGTCCATGACCTATCTAAAGCGGGCAACAAGCCTAACCAGGCTACGATGTTGAGATAGGAAAACTTTGGACACTGGGGCTACTGGCAAAAATCTCTATGGCAAGTGCGCAGGGGAGTTTAGCGCAGTGGCTTAGGTCAAACTGTCCTGGACCATTCCAGGTTGTGCGCGTGTACGCTTTGACATGAAGAGTAGCATAGGTCTTAGTACGGAGCAGTAACAGACACTGGGGTCAAGAGATCGTCGGATGATGTGATGCAAGGGTAAGGATATCATCGGCCCTATTGCGTAGCAGATTGGTAATGTTACAGTGGGAGTATAATAAGGTCTCGAAGGGCAGTGGTTTGGTACTGCGGATATGAATAGCTCGACAGCAAAAAACCGATTAGAGCATTCCCTTAACAGATCGACGACGGCAGCGGTTACTTCATTGATATTTATCCGAATACAATGATCGTATGATCATGAAAGTAATAAGCTAACGAAAAGTAGCGCCAGGCTTGCTCGTGGCGTCCGGCATACTGGCTGATCGAATCGGATCCACTGTCACGATGTGCTTCTAGGCCCCCGTCATGTGGATTTTGCGTGACCAAATACGGTTAGTTTTGGTTTTCCGCCCTTTTTCCACGTCCTGTTTCCTCTAACTGATTTCGAGGTCTGCGCTGCTAAAGTAAAGTGAACTTCCCGCGAAATTTTGTGATCCCCATTTGAAATCTCATGAAGAACAAGGTAGTGCGTTTTTGCGAAAAAATCAGTCTCCTAGATTTAATTGTTTAACTATTGTCGCTGTTAACTCCGCCTGAGAGCCTATTGCCTGTTGGTGTTTTCAAGCTGTCATATATGCTTAGGTATTTAGCAGTTCGTTGTTCATATATATGTACGGAACTACGGTGCTAATCGGTTATCATTAGCTATTCGTGAAGCGTCGGCTGCTAATTTTTTTTCTCAGAAGTAAGTACAACATACAGTACATATTACATAGCTGTTTCGAGTCGAAATAACTTAGCTGTTAATTTTAGCGCAGATGTCATTGTCCGAACCTAAAGCAGCGATCCGAAAACCGAAAAAAATGCGGACCTTTGGCTAGGTCGGTTTAAAACAGGCAAAAACACTGCTAACGACTAGCTCAGCTGTAGCTAATTTCTTCATCTGACGTCCTGTGCAGGACACTGTAGGGACGTACAGACATGGCAAGATGTGTATTTGTTCGGTCTTCTATCGTTACAACGCCACCACGTTTTGATATATGCCATTAATGTAGTTAATATACACTGCAACTGCCTCACTATGCGTTATCCGTGCAGCGTCCCCTTTTTCGACTATTGTTTTTACTGTATCTACGCTGCGATTATGTGCAACGTAGGCAAAACAATAAGAAAATGCAAGCCTATTATCGATTTTACTCAAGCTTGCGCTACTGCAGACGACTCAACACGACACAGGCGCCACAAACAAACAAAACAGAAGCTCTGATGGCGCCACTGCTTGGTACTTTAACCTTAATTGCAGACAGACAGTTGGTAGGTAGCGATAGATATAGTGTGGTATAATAGTAAATGCAATTTGTCTGTTTGAACTGTATGGGCAAGCATAGCTTTTAAGGTTGATTTTTCTCGATTCATCGATGTCTGCTACACTTGGACGTAAATCGCTGTCAGAGGTCTTTCATGATTTTTGCGTCACCGCCCATTTACTATGGTAAGACTACAATAACGGCCAATGATATTAAGTATATTAAGCCGATGCTACACGCAACTGAAATTATGTCATACGGCCTTTAAGCTACCCGACGCGGCCTGTCGCTGCAGATATAATTCATGCAGTCTTCGACGGTAGCCGCCATTAACAACAATTATTCATCAACATCAGAATATGATCACTAGTCGATCGCGAGGCTAGAGTAGCCAGTTTTCTAAGCAGCTATCGCCGACAGGATTTCTGTACTGGTTTAATATATATATATATAAGCTATTAAGATAAGAGTTCAGTGATGGCACCGGTCAATTTTATGTTGAGCAACTAGACTGCGAAAAAAAGTATTCTTTTTTTTTCTCATGGTAGGTCAGTGTTTCGTTAAGCAGAAAAAAACGAGGCAGAAAAGACTGTATATGCGTCTAAGGTTTTCATTATTAATATGTGCTACAGCATATTAGCTAAAATGACAATGAGCAACTCAAATCTTCAAAAAAATAAATCCTGCGCTTCTCTTGTGTATTCTTTTTCTTTTTTTCTAAATTATTTTTCCAAAACATCCGATCATAAAACCATTGTTAGGCAAACACTTGCTAGGAAATTGTTAGGAATTAGTGTTGCGGCCAAAAGATTGTCTCTGATTTAGTAGAAGGAGGGTTTGCTGGGCTGTTGACAACGATCTTGTCTGATCTCTTCATTACGACAAGTATTGTGTGCACAATTTCGGCGTATAGTCAACCTTGTTTTTTGCGTGATGATATAATTAAATTTTCCAAAAAATGGTCTTCTAGTGATTTTCCGTTTTATCTGGACATACTTGTGTTAAGTCTGTCACACGTCCTAAGAACTGCTTTGTTAAAGCGTGCCTTACTCTTTTTCATGTATGTGAACACCGCCGTAGATGTTACCAGTCCGACGGGCAGCGGAGGCAGTCAACTACCACTAGGTCATCTACCCACAACGTCGCCCGGTAGCAAACGACGGGGCACTTTCCGGTGAGTCACAAAACGTTGTCACAACTACTAATGGTCAAAGCGCGTGTCAAGCTATGACCAAACATGTACTCACAACTTTACCGAAGTTCTGAGTACATGTTTGGTCGAATGTGACCTTGGAGCGTTTTTAAAGCCTCGGTCCAGCACCGTTCTGTTCAGACATTCGAATCCGAAGTCCAATTTTGTTATGTTAGTTACAACTGGTTTACAAGCAAGAACTCCCAATTCAGGACGACATGTGAATTCGATATTAGCGTTGTCTTGCGGCAGGCCAATGCAAATAGTCATGACGGTGCACGAAGGAGTTGGTCCTGTACTTGAAAAGCAAAACCACCGTTAGCCGGATTTGACGAAGGAGATGATTTGCGACCGCTATTACTTAATACCATTGGTCCCTGTAATTACACAGTTCCAATAAGCGGAGTCATTTGCTTAAAGGAAACTCAACGCACTTCAAAGGAGTTCGTTCCAAAAGAGGTCTGAACGCGAAATATAACAAAAATTAAATCCCAAAACGTTCTATTCCTTTCTATATGTGCGTTTAGACGAGATAAACTGCAACATCACATTCCTTAAGGACATATTTTTTGTGAATTTACAGTTCAAAATCTTTTTCAATGCACAACTCAACATAAAATAACTTCAGTGGAGTCGCTTTCAGCTCGGACTCTTCCGATTGTCCCTGTGTTTAAACGGATAACAGGAAAATCTAAAAATCTAAATTCTGGCAGGCTGACGCTGCGTCCGGTATGCGTGCCTCCGTTGTTGTTATGAGCACTCATTTTCTCAATATGAGTTTTCTAGTGATGTCGACAGAAAATGGAAATTATCAATAAACAACGCCCTAAGACAGGAGCGCTCGTTAGTTTGGGAGCTATCATATATTCTCCAATGGACTTCTCGATTCTCGCTGTCCAGTCGAACTGCTTGCGTAGGAAAAAGTTCTTCACAAGCTATAGAACGGCCATATAAAAGTATTAGTACCGAGCATTGTTCATAAATAATTGACGTAGCCAACTGTGTGTACTATCTCCATTGCGACCATCATCAATACAAATTTTAAACCTCTTAGAGAGATAGAACACAATGCATATTGCAACACACAGGTTCAGGAAGTATTTCTAAAAATGAAAAGCATAGGCGTCTACATGTTCTCCTTGCGTGCACGCTTCACCGCATTGTATTGGGTAATTCAATGTTCTGCTCATTATCACCGACTTCTGCTGAAACGGTCATCGTGTATTTTTGAAACAGTAGTCAGTCGAACCGAGTTGCATCGCTTTGCGGTGATTCGTAAGTCAAACATCCGACATCTGTGTGATGTAGAGTAGACGCTAAACCATTGTGGCCTCGGTATTATCCATTTAACAGCACGCCGTTGGAATATGACCAAAAATGATTAGCAGGTGGTCTGAAGAGTCTGGGTCTTTCGTTCTGACTATAGAAGTCTTGCAACGCATCATCTAGGATTGCTTCAGCTCCGTTGTTTTTCTTTGTTGCTGCAATAGCATAAACGCGTTGTATATGTAAATTTGTTGACAAGAACAACTTACTACATAAGCCCGCCTTTTTCGATACTGCACCATTGAGACAATTGGCGTATACTTGATAGTCACTAATAATGGCTCTCTGAATTTAATTGTTCGTTGGTAGAGTCGCAAATATAGTGTAGCGTACCATATATAACGAGCGTACAAATTTAGTAGAATATAAACAACAGTAACACTCTTTTTATTTAGATCTTTCGTTAGATTTAGACATTTGTAATAAAGATACAGGATGTGTTTATTTTTGTTTATTATAATGTATTTATTTTATTATAATTATATTATACGATTTATTTGGATATAAAATTCCCTTTGAATTCGAACACATAGTTTGATCCTTTGTGTCGGTCTCCTTTATGCACCATCTTGTTGATGCTCTGATTGTTGCTCATGTAAATGGTGCCATAGTAGCAGCATATATTTTCCAAATATAAATGCTTTGCGTTGTTTTGGTCTATTTAAATTCCATCAGCAAGTTGCTTCCGCAACATTCTCGGTCCGTTTTACAACGAAAATGAATTGATAGACTGAAGTTGAACGAAACGAAATCGACTTTTATGAGGAATTTGACAGCGAAGATGGACCGGTTGACACAAACAATAGCTAAAGGCATCTTTCAGCAGCGTTCGCTAACCTGTGGCGCCACCTAACCCCGTACGTCATCACAGCATGTAACATATTTCTAAATTGTAACTACTACGCATATTACAATGTAAAGCATTTGCATTCGTTTTCAAGAATTAGCTCGAATAATAGCACGACGAACAGATGGTATATATATATATATTTACGAGTTACGTAATGGTATCGCCACCCGTTCTCTTTTTGTTACGTACAGTTTATGTCGGACACACGATCATCATGCGTGGTTGGTGTGTAGATATTTCTATTTAGTTTTGATGACGATAAATCCGAACTCACGAAGTGACTCCAACCAACATGGCAAAAGCGCGCGCATTCTTCTTAGAAGTTAGAAGGATTAGTAAAAATTCGGGGAAGAACCTGCGGCCGTTCAACATTGCCGTATTTCGTGGACATCATCATCGTGCACGTACAGTACAATAGCGGGAGTAAGCGATTATATGCCAGTGTTTTCCTCGGTATTTTCTTTCGCTACGAGTCTCCGGAGCATTTTTCTATGTACCGAGCCTAAGTCATAGTAAACGTCACTAATACGTGAAATCGACTAGTAGAGCTGTTACGAACGTGATGCCGGCGGGCCCGTCTTTATCGTCTGTCGATTAGGTAGTCGAAAGGGCGCCTCGAATATGGCAATCGGGAGGGCGATCAACTTAAGCGGACCCTGCAGTGCATTTGTTATCGACTGCATGATTAGTGTGACGTTGCTCATACTAGCAGTAATGGACAGTCTGTGGATAATGCTGTGGCTACTTTGGCTCGCAGAACAGATTGGCGCGAAAAAACATTGTAACAAACTTAACAGCTGAAGCGAATACTGGGCTATGCGCAGAGGTAAATAGATCAACTGCGTGGTCACAGCGTAGATTCGAATTTGAAGCTGCATCAGCTGGGCTGGTGCACGCGCGAGACTTCGTAGAGCACGCAGACCCGACCTATTGAGTTCGATGAGAGTAGACACTCGATCGAAGAGCGCGCGACATGCTTCGAAGAAGCTAAGTGGTCGGGGCCGATACCCCACGGCAGTGGTGGACATTGCGTTGTTTGAGCGCTTTGTAGAGCTGCTAGGATTTTTCAGTAGCTTTTAATAAGGAAGTCGTTATGTTAGAGAAGATTAGAGTTAGAAGAATTCAGTGATCAGGTATGCCCACGCGCAAAATACTTCCAATTAGCTATTTCGTTACGCTTTTAAATCAATTTAAATGTTGCCTTTCTCACGACGAATGCATATTCGATAAACATTTTCAAAAATTCATTCCCACCGGTCATTCTGCATTTGTTATTAGCGTAGCTAGCATTTATTTTTTTCAGTTGTGGTATTATTTTATGACTTTCTTGACTCACGACATCCAGAGCTGCACTAACACGAACTGCTCTAGTTGCTACGTGCAAGTAATTGCGAGTCACAGTAGCTTCCTTTTGGCCTAATCAGTACCAACATTCCATTATGATTCCTGCTGTATTGGCCTGTTGCATTTAGAGCAGCAGATTAAAGGAGAGTGACAAGTCACTGTGCGGTACACGTATGTCAACTGTTATCGATACCGCCAACACTCGTTCAGTGTCAGCAAGCACAAGTACTGGTAACGTCTGATTATATTACCGACGATTTCTGTCGCTAACTTTTGACTTGCTGTTATTGACGTCGCTGCGGACGCCTCTGCAATTGCTTCTACGAGTTGCAGGAAACGTGTTTCAGCAAACAATAACAACAATAATAAGTTAACCACAGTTTCTCGCTTGGGGCTGCGGCCATGACAGCGACAGAGGTAACTGTCCGTCAGTCGATGACTAGGGTCGCTCCTTTGGATATTGTTTGTTTGGCTCGAATGTCACAATATCATGGTCACAGAATTTCAGAAGTCAACACAGCGATGTCCTTTTCTGTTCGATGGATTCCCGGAACAGGACAGATGCAATAGCTTCTGTGGATCGAGTGGCTTCTGATTCAGTGGCCGTTATCGTTTGCCGCTACCGTCTGCAGTCGCATTTGCGATTCGCCGTCGATGGCTGGCCACACGGACACAGACGTAATAGAAGCCGCCGCAGCTCCGCAGGTCCGACCGCCAAACAAGCGGCTCCGCTGTTCGTTTGCTGCCTGCCTGTGAGCAGTGGGGGGAAAGCAAAGAGCATGACAGCGCTGTTGACGCTGGGTGGCCTCCATAGCAGCTGCTGCTGCTGCTGTTGTTCGCTCTCGTCGGCAGCGTGCCTGCTTATGTTTGGCTTATGGGCTATGACGAGATGTGCGAGCAACTCGCATAAAATGGCGCTGCTGCCAGGCCAGCAGCTAACCGTGGCGGCCATGCAGCGCCAGCGGAGAAAGAAGCCCGCTGTAGCGGTGGACTTTCGGTTGAATCAGCGGGCGCTGATAACGACGATGTTAGCGGGTGGGAGATGGCGATGCTGGCCGACGGCCTCGCACGAGCCGTGGAGGATAGTATCAGCGCGATCTGATGGCGTTGGCTGATATGAAGTAAGCGCCCGTCAGGTAGCGCTGCTGGCACCGGACAATAGCTAGACAAAATCGTGCAGTAGCAATAGCTGCAACGAATATATATACGGGTGCTGAATATACGCTTTGTGTGCAAATCTAAATGCTCAATAACCGAATGATATTCACTCAACGTGACCTATGAGTATGCGCCGATGTTGTCAGTTGCCCACATTCCCATCACCTTGCTGACATTGCACTCTAGCGCAAAAACCGGCCTGAAAGGGTCAGCTAGAGAACAGATGCATTTGACACGACAACATTAGCTAATCGTCGACCGACTGATCAACCACCAACCACCGCTTACCGCTCCCACTCCGATG